CCATATCTATTTAATTCATTTGTAAAATACTTTAAATTTCATTCTTAACACAATTATGATAAAAGTCCCTCTGGGTACATGGAAGTGAAAGCATGGTATTTTGGAACTGGATCCTCTCATATATATATATTCTTTCATCGTAACTTTCAATTATAAACTCAATGATCTTGATCAGATAAGAAAAATAAAACAATAAAAAAAGCTAACTTCTTATTTTTATGGTATTCTAAATCAGATCCATTTAATTTAAAAACATAATGTTGAGAGGTTATCTGTACATTAAAAAAATTGAATCATCGTACTGCGTCTGGTGATTGTGGTTTATCGGGGAATCATCCTGGATAAGAGTCTTGATATCAGTATTAATAATTAATTATTAGCGACATATATGAAAAAACTTAGACCCGATGTCAGATATGGATTTGGCGTGGGAGTTAGTTTAGGGAAATACTAAAATCATGATTCGAAAATGAGTATCAAAGTTAAATTCCCAATAAAAAATAGTTGGATTAATAAATAACTAGTTAGACAAAGCTAGGAACCATTGTATCAAGAAACTCGAGCAATGCTGGGTAGCTGACAAAGAAAAATTCTATTGGATGTGCTCCATCACGACCTTATGCTTTAGGCATGGGCCAGCATTTGAAAACTGAAGATTATATATATATATATATATATATAGACTAGATCAGTAGGGGAAACGAACAAAGAAGACCCCAGTAGACTAGAGCTAGCAAGTCCAGAAGCACGGTAACTTTTAACGAAAGCCTTGACTTCCCTGCCTTCATCCAAGATTAAATGCCATGGACCCCGCGAATATTAAAAGAGGAGAAGAGAAAATAATCTCAGAAGCAAAAATATATATATCAAAGTGATTAGAAAAAATATAAAAAATATCTTCAAAAAAATTAATTTAAAGGTAGGATTTAAATATTTGTTTGATCCGTGGAATTTAAATATATGCTTCAAAAAAATATAATTTTCAAAAAATCAGCAACAAACACTTTGTTAATTTAAAAAAATAATATCAACACTTTAAAAAAATTAAAAAATAATTAAAAATAAAAAATTCAAATTTTAAAATGAGTGTTGTACCGCTGCACTTATTACGCAATTTGACTCGGTCAACATTTCATTTAAGGATTCCTGTTGATAGTCCAATATTCAAATTAACAGAAAATTCAATATAGTAACAAAAAAAAAAAAACTCAATCCCAAACTAAGATTTATAATTAAGCCTTCGTGCCAAGCAACGTGCATGCCAAGATCCCGAGTCTTCCTCTAATTTTCAATTTAATGACTGAGTTACATATCAAGTAGCAGTAACTTTTCGATGTTAAAAAATCTCAAGAAAAAAAAATGTATAAAAAAATTGTTGGCCTATATATATATATATTTGTTGTCCTAAAATTAAAATGTCAATGTACATGTATATAACATCTATATTACATTTGAAGTCAAGAAGTAAAAAAAAGAAAAAAAGAAACACAAACACCTTATTGAAAACAATCATTAATCCATTACCAAAAAAACAAAGAAGGAAACAAATCATTAATGGATCAAATACTTTAATTTGTTTTTAGGTCAGTTAAAGGCCGAATTATATAGATTTATTTTTTCTATATTTTTTTTTTATAATTCATGCCTAAAGATCGTCATGGTTTTATAATTAACTCGATGTTCAACAAAATGGCCCACACGCACAATTTAATTTCAGCTTTCTACATAAAAAGTAAGGTAGCATACAGTATTATTTATGCATGAAACCTAATATCACATCCTCGATCGTGTGCTCTAACTACATTTATGGGCTATACATATATACGTAATCAAATCTCGGCATGACATGTAACCACTAACTAAAGCTTTTTTCCACTTTCTTTAGCTTAAAACTACTCATCATCACGAGGATCTTGAGAGAAATCAAAGCCGTCCAAGAAATTAATGGTTTCTCCTGGCAAAATCACCCTTTGACATGGTTAGCTGGTATTAAATTAAATATTATTGGGCGTGAGTTGTGACTGCAAATGTTAATTGAGAATGTCTTTGAATGGAAAAAAGAACTTCAAATTAATCCATCCATGGTTTTACAATGGTTGGACTTGGAGGACACTAACTGAGCTGGTGCACATTTGACAAAAATTGCTGCACGAGTGAGTCAATTCAACTCGTGATTTAAGTGGGAAAAGGGTTAATTTGAGTTTAGTCAATCAACTTAGTTAATTGTGTATAATTGGTTTAGTCTCATTTAATTTACTTAATGCATTTTATTACCTTCAATCAATTAAATGCCTCGTTATCAGTTTAAAAGCAATTGTGTGTTAGTATGTTTTTGTCTCTTCTTTCCAAGCAGTTCCTGGAAAACAGAAGACATCAAATTGCTAGTTAAGAATAATCCGGTTTTTTAGGATCAATTGTCAGATTATGATTCAATCTTTTAATTAACTCTTCACCCTCTTGTTTTTGTTTTATGATTGAAGACTTTTAAAGCTGAATTTATATATTCTTGTATTTTTTTTAAAGGTCCAAAATTTTTTTTCTAATGGATCCACGATTTTGTTTCGAATATTCTTAGGAGTCTTACTTTGTTCTTTTTAATTTCCATGCAATCAAGATTTTTTTATATATATATAGTTTGCCATCTCCTTAATATCCCTGTAATCATAATAATATTTCTTGGATTACTATAAAGAAAGAATGCCAGCGAAAAGAAATTATAAGAGATCAATGCTAGTACAGCTAGCATCCAATAATTAAAAAGGGATAGTTAATAAACAAATGGAGTTTGGAAATATAAGTGAAGATCACTTCTCAGCAATGGTATAAGCTGGTTTTCCTGTTAAAACTATTAAAATAAGACTAGAAAGGGGAGGTCTGAGAGATTCGGCATCAAACACCTAATCAGGGAAGTCAACTCCCAACAAGACCTTTGTTTTCCTTCTTTCTAACCACTCTTTCTTTAATCTACTTTTATCTTGTGCATGAGAATACGTGAACCTATTAATGCGGATCTACCATCGTTTGAGAATGAGCATGTCTGTCCTTTTCCGAGCTACATAAATTTAGTTTTTTATGCTGCACCCACTTATATTTAACACTATACCATGGTCATTATCATCATGGAGAATCCATGCATGACATGCATGCAGTGTTGCCGATGCCATGCATGCTACATATCGACCACATTCAACTTTAGCTGATCCTTTCAAGTTTCTCATTTATGAAATAACAACTGGTGTTCACTTAATCATTAATTAAGTTTTTGGTATGTGTGGAAAAAGATTGACTTCACGAGTATCACGTCACTAGCCCTATAATTGGTCTATGATCAGCCCATGAACACCATCTGATTGATCATAAAGGCGGTCGAGATATAAAAAATGGTCAATTTTAGCTAGAAGCTGTTCTAGACGTTGTGAAATGGGAAACGCTTTGAATTATTAATTAACATTGCGTGTTTGATTAATCAAGAGAAAATGCTGCCGCCGAGTAATTAATTGATTGCGTTGCCTTCACATCGGAAACGTATGCATGGAATGAAAGGAAATTTATACATCTGAACATTGATTTGCAATATTTGCAGCACAAATGATATCAAAGGTGTGTTTTGTCTCCTTTTCAAGCATTTTGTCCACCACGGCAATGAGCGTGACAAATTACCCGCTATTTGTATTTCCCTAGCAAATATAGGTTAGTTGCATGAAATTCATGGCTGCAATTTGCAGTACTCACGAACTAGCTTGCTTTTCTTCTTCGAGTACCATGCCACATTGTCAGGAACATTAAGGAAACGCCCGCAAAAGCAGCCTCCACTTGGTTATCCCTGGAGAACGGGAAAAAATATATATATATTAGTCAATTAAGCTGTAATTAGCTTGAGACTGGTAAAACTATAGTTTTACTAATTGTTATAGATAGGCCCCCCTCGAGAAAAACTTTTTCTTTTTTTTTGGATTAATATTCCGAGGGGGATTGGCAGTCTTTTCTTTTCCAGGTAACAAGCGAGAGCATATTTGGAATCCAGTGAGGATCATTAATTTTGCCAATGGTCTCATGCAATTAGGTCTTGCTTCTTGACTTAGCAGAACCTATATAGAGCTGGCTTCCTCTAGATGTATTTGATTGACGGCGAAAATGCAGGCTCCAGTTCAAAGACCCGTTAGCCTCCCAGTCCAATCTTGACAGATTAATTACATTCAGAGTCCTTAGTGGGGGACCGTGCGGAAGTGATTTGCCAGCAATAGACCCACCATGGTCCGACGCTAATTGACTACCATTTCTCCTTTTTGACCGCCAAAATCAGATACACTAATCTTGGCAAGTAAACATTGGAGGCGGATGACAATAGGAGTGCCTTTCCATCTGAGCCCCTAAGATAACCTATAACTTGTATTTTTTACCTTCCGTTGACCAATTATCATATGCAATTAACGATAACCTCAAATGACCTTGAGTGAATCCACCTTTACAGAGGAAATAAAATAGGAAGAGATAAGAGGATAAAAGCATTCGGCTAGTAGCTACATCGATATATTATTATTATGAAAGCTACTATTGCACTCCATCGTAAGTGATAATTTCGTCCTTTTTCTTCAGCTTATTATCAAATACTCGAGCATCGAGGTTCTTGGATATAATAATACCATTAAAACACGGCTTACAAGTGGTTGTGAAGAGGTAGGAGACCATTCACCATTCGGGCCAACAAAAAGAAAGCCCAGCTTAAAATGGACACAGTCCTTCCTCACACAATGGCGGGCGGCGTTCTGATCAGGGCACCTCGTGGGCTGCTGGACCATTCAATTTAGACTTGTCGTCTACTCTTTCC